ACCCAATGAGTAGTTTCATATACTCAATTTTGAGTTATAACCGATTTTTGGACAAAGCGAACGTTTGTTTTGAATTTAGTTTGCATTGCTTTATAGAATTACTACATAGCCAATTGAGGTGTTGAGGTGAAAATTATTACTATAATACGGTTCAAATCTACCATCAGTACTATATATTTGAATATATGATAATCTAATTAATTGATTTTGATTAGTTAAACACTTTTACTAAAATGCATTTATAGTGCCTTAAAAACTGGCTAATTAATTGGTATGTGGTGAACTAAAACTGTAAAAAATATTCGATATCTTAAAAGCCATTTTCAAATCCTAAATCTATTCTTAAATATTAACAACAAAAATTCATTAAAAAAAAACTTAAAAATGATAAACGTGAATTTATTTAGAGATCATCGTAATTTGGAGATTGGAGATTGGATATTGGATATTGGGGTGTTTTTAGTACGCATACTAAAGTCGTTTGAGAAATCGTGTACCCAGAGAATTTCACATCCAGTGAGAGTTAAAAACTACCTTTTTAAAGAAAAAAAAAAAAAATTTTTTAAAATTAAATTTATTCAGTCAAATTTTTACTAAGTAAAAAGTTTGAGGAAATGAGTGCTGGAGACTGTATAGCGTAATATTTTGCTTAAACAAGTTTACTTAAAATGATATAAACATAAATGAAATAAATGAAATAGATGAAATAAATGAAATTTTAAATGTTTAGCATATAGGAAACTTAGTTTTCTACTAAGGTATCACGTCTTCATATTCTAAATTGATTGATCATAAATTCTACGGTTGATTTTTACAAAAGTTTACGTGATTCTAACGCTAAGGAATTTTATTGATTTATTTAATCGCCAAATTTGAAAATAATTTGCAGATGTAAAAAGATCTGGGCATTAAAGTTCATAGTAATCTTAAGTTTTATAGTTTAACACTCAAGGTTTGCATTTGTCATTGTAAAGACGATCGACGTAACAATAAGTCGACTAATGATTTGACTAACTTAGCGACAGGTATTATCACGTACGTATGTACTACGCACGTGCGTACCAATCAGGTTTTTTGGAATTTTTGGTCAAATTCGAAAACTTTTCAGCGTTAAAAACATTCGTAACGATGCTTTCAGAGACATCACCACAAACAAGAAGTTGGCTTAAGACGAAGCTTCAAAATATTAAGAGAACTGGTTTACAATTTTCTGATGACATTTTAATATCCATACTTGTTTGTCTCATGTCAAGAGACAAGCATTTAATGTTGACATGCAAACAAGAACATACCGAAGAATTAAAAACTATGGTTGAACAGATCTTTCATAATGTTTTTGGCTTGAGTTGTGCAACTGTCACTTGCGATACCTCGCAAACTCCTGCTGACTTTATTGCCAATCTTTTTAGTCGACCAAAAGACGATAATTCTTATTCTTCAAATAGTACTCATATTGGTAATTCCATTCAAAATAGTGCTGAGGATTCATTTAATCGTTTACAACCACAAAAGTCTTACAGATCATTAATAACAACAAGTTCGACAAATTCATTTGAGAAAAAACCACCCCAGGAATTTAAAGGAATAAAACGACAATCTAATTTATCTCATAGCCCTAGTCATCTATATCATAATACAAATTCATCTATAGACACTAATTTTAGTGATGACGATGAATTATCAATTAATGAAGTTGATGAATATAGCTCACGAAAGGTATGGGGTAATGTGTTTAAATTTGACAAATATATATATATATATATATATATATTTCTTTACAATGTCATCATGAGATATACTTACTTATTTACTCCTTATTTACTTGGGATAGTTGAATGGACGTTCTAGAACTCTTGATAGTCCTAAGGAATCAAATTTCGTTTCATCAAACTCCCATCCACGTAGGAGAAATACTTTTCTCGCATCTCCAACATCAACTCAACCTATTGACATTCCACAACGTCCAAATCTTAGCATATATACCGGTTCTCCACGAAAAAATACATATTCTTCAAATTATTCACACTTAAACTCATATTCTCAATCTCCAAATACTCCAATTGACTTTTCAAGTTCTAAGAGAACGCATGGGAGTATAGGTACTGGAGGTTTTGATTCATATTCTCCTCATAATTCTTCGTCTCGAAAATTGGCTCAAGCTGTGATAATAGAGAGTTTATCTAATGCTAATGAAATAATCTTTGCATTTTTACTGGAGGTAATTATATTATTATAAATTTGTCGTCAATTCCTGATTAAACATTGATTTTTTTATCTTGTAGATTCTTGCTCATAAAGAAGTAACCGATAAATCAACAACTTTCTATTTGCCAAAACCATTTCTTATTGTAGCTTTATTACCAGAAACATATCCAAGATATAGTCTACCTAATCAATTGGTAATATATTGTCCAATTATATTTTTAATTTTCATTACTTTTCAAATAATTTTTACAAGACTAAATTTTTTTTCATTATATTGAAAGATGGATAGATTTTTCATAAGTTATATGTACGAAGGAATAATAGGATTTGGAAAATCACCAATTATTAATCGACGGAATCCAATGATTAAGGAAATGGTATTTAACTTTTAAGAGGAATATACTTTGATTCGTTTACGTTATTAAAGGTACCTTGACACATCTAAACTCATTCATATTGATTATCTAGGAAATTGACAAATTATCAAAAGATATGGATAATGTTTCAGTTCATAATGACATGCAACGATATATGCGAGATATTGTTGTTGGATTACGAACGCATAGAATTGTCAAAAGAGGCATAACGGCTCGAGCTTCAACCGATTTGGTAACATTTGTAAAGTAAGTTTTTAAATTATTTGTTTATTATTTGTTTATTATTTGTTGGTTAGTGAAATATAATAAACCCATTAATAAAGTTACTATAATTTCTTAGGGCGTTGGCTGCTGTATTTCAGCGTAACTATGTAACACCAGAACTAGTGTTATTTGCAAGTGAGAAAGTATTTTCCCATAGAATTGTATTACGAGAAGCAGGAGATGATAGAAGTACAATGTATGGAACAAATTTGAAAACTTTGTTAAAAAAAATGAGAGGCCCTACAACATCGGGAGATGTTATTGCGGATGTTTTACGAGCTGTTTATCCCCCTGTGTAAAATTTTAATATATTCTTAATAACTATAATAATAACTATAATAATTATAATTATTGTATAGATATAATGTGATAAAAGATTATTGGTAATACTGTAATAGATAGAGATATATTTTTAATGCATGCATTTAACATTAGATTTCAATAATATTTATCAAATCATTTTGTAACTCAAGTTTTATTTGTATAATAGTAAATAACAATTAACAACTTTTGTATTAAAAATATTATTTGACTTGGTTATTTTTAACTTTTAACTGAAAGGTATATCTTTCTGATATTATGATGCTGTAATAGGGAATCGTAAAATCTATTCATCAATTTATTTATATTATTATAACAAAATGTAAAATATCGAAGTTGTATAGTCAATTTAAATACGAAGATAATTATCAAAGTGTAATGTGATAAAGTTTCCAATACTTTTTCGTCAAGCAAATTAATTCATTTTGATATCATTGATTATTATTATTACCATAATCATTATTAAGCTAACGCTAAATTTTTATTAATAATCTTTATTTAAACAAATAATAGATATTTTTATCATTATATAATACTGTATCGAAAATTGTTTCAGTTTTTTAAATAATTTCTTAGTTTACTAGATTAGTTTAATCTGGGAGATATAAATAGTTTGGTTTAGTTTAGTCTAATCTATTTGATTCAGGCTTTTACAAAACAATTTCTTTAGGTTTAGATTGATTTTAAGACTACGTAACTGTAATTATTAGTCTAAGCCAAACTACCTAATATGTATATCTAGCAAGACTTTACTTTTAATAATTAAATTGCTATGGTGAAAACGAAAAAAATATTATATAAACTGAATATATGATCAAACTTCAGTTATATCTCCACTTGGTTACGTCCCAACCTAGGCTATATCTTCGCATTTAGCAGAATATAGTTCCTATGCTTATTAATGTTACCGTATTTGCGCGTAATAACGCCCCTCTGCGCGTTATTTTGGGCCCCTGCGCGTTATTTTGAATCGCGCATGCGCCTTATTTTGAGGCAAAATATAAAATTTTCGAACTCTTATATTGAAATCAAATACATGGGTTTTATTATAATAACCAAGTCGTCAATAAGTTTTTAAACTCTAATTCATATACGCAGGGTGCGCGTTATTTCGGGACGCGCATGGGGTTATTTCGAATAATACTAATTTTCCAAAAAGTCAAAATTCGAATTAACGCCCCGGCCCGCTATTACACGCAAATACGGGGTATTTATATTATATCCCTACCTAAGTTATATAACTTGAATGAAGAAACTCGTGTACTTTATTTAACAATAAAGAGATGAATCATTTCAAGTAGATATTCTTATTACAAATACCGTCATATATTATACTATAGCATGAGTAGCCTTAACAGCAGCTGGTTTCAGAATTTCTGGTTGCTCTACAGTTTCCCTAAATTTACCCTCTTCGGCGTCGTCATTACTATTTCGAAGTTTTTCATAATATCGTATATACCATCTAACAACGATCAAAAGTACGAAACTACTAAAATATAACCACATAAAAATAAAATTTATTATACGAATTTGACAAGCCAAGCGGATTAGATTTGAAGAGTAAGGATAGGTCTCTGGACATGTGAATGGAATTTTACCCATTTCTTTAAACGTAAAGTATGTATAAATAACTATTTTTAGAATGCACCGAAAGAGAATAATGAATGGATGAATGAATAAAGAGTTTTATAAAAGAAGCCATATAAATATTATAACATTATATAACATACTCGGATATAATACCCAAATACATGATGTTATCCTGCACACGAAAGAATAAATTTAAGTGCAAATGCATATAAACATCAATATCATAATTTAAGTAATTTACCTAAAGTCAAAGTTGTATTCCTGTATCTTACATGCATAAAATCCACAAAATGCTAATGAATTTAATACTACACAGTAGAATTTAAATAGAAGTAAAAGTTAGGTATGTAATTTTTTGTTGCAAATAGTAAGAAAGTATCATTACCAAGTACCGCCAATGTGAATATTAAATATCTAAACAAGTTCCAAAATTGTAAATATTAAACAAAAACACTTTAGATCTTAAATTGAAATGCAAAAATACTTACGCATACTCTGCACCTTTATTGTACCGAAGTTGACCATGGGTATCATCGAATATTTTGATTTTTACTATTTCTGCATTCGTTGTAACAGGCCAAGAAATAATGAAAAATTAAACACGAATTTACTAAGAGAATAAACTCATCCAACATACCAATTATGGGACATATGAACATTAAAACAAAATTCGGTACAATTAACAAATATAGCCAACGAGGTTTCTTCTTTCCTTTTGCCATATGTTATGAACTCTGATTTATAAAGAAATTTCTTTTTGATAGAAAACACAAAAATTTAATTCAAGACCAAGTTGAATGCTTCAGCAAATGTAAAGGGCTTAATATTTATTTTTTTTTGTTGCTTAAACAAATAAACATTTGCTCTCGAGGCAATTGATAATTGACAAAATTCATGTTATAATTCTTGATATCATAAGAGGAGTCCGTCTGATTTGTTAAGTTTTGTTGATATACCCATGATTATTAACCAATCAAACAAAAAAATTTTGCTTTACGACATCAGTAAGGAACATTATTACGAATTTTTCAAATGCCCATTACGTGACTTGGTTTGTTCACGTGACACGAACTACTACACATTAGGGCAGTGTTGGGAAATTTGGTTTTTGGGTTACCATGTCCAAAACCTGTCCAAAACCCTGTCCAAAACCAAAACGAAATTTAATTGGTTTTGAACAAATATATATATACTGTATTGTATTTTATATCAAATCAAAATTTAAATATATAGATTACTTTTAGCTTATTATTTATATTTCAGTTAGCAAATAATAATAAAGTATTTTTTATAATTATTTGTCAAGTACTTTAATTAAGCTAAAGTGATAAAAAATACTACATAGTATGTATATATATATATATATATATATATCAAGATTAGACGTAGAACCACTAGTGCCTCTGCTTTTTTTTTTTATAGTTAAGTTAGAATTATCACGAATTTTACTGAGTTACTATATAATAATTTAGTAATTTGGTGATTTAAATTCTTTGCAATATTGTTAAATAAATCTATACAATAACAATTAGATAAGTATATATTTAATTTAAATTATATAGATGATATATATTTTAAAATATTACCATTTTTATATAGTTTTGTTTTAGACAGTTTTGAACAGTTTTGGATGGTTTTGGATATGTTCAAAATTGTCTAAAACATTTAATTGGACAAGTCCAATTTCTATTACTGTATTAGGATGTTTAGAATTATGTGATGTGATGGGGTAAATTATGTGATTTGACTGAGGTCAATTATACAAAACATTTAAATAGATTATATGATTTTTATATAGCATCATATTACATAATTCTAGATATCCTAGTGCCCATAGACCAGCCTTTAAAGCAGTATGCAATTAGTTACATAATATGTAGCTAATAAACTTGATTGTTTTGATCAACTTAAATCAACCAACAAAGAAAAAAGAAAAAAAAAGTAAAAAAACAAAAAATACAAGAAATAAGTATCTAAATCTATCTTAAACATTAATAAAAATATTAAGAAGATAATTTTTCTATAAGATTTGCTCTTACTTTAATCTCTAATTAACTTTTACTCTAACTTTAATTAAAATATCAAAATCATATAACTGTATTTTGCTTTAAATAACTTCTATTTTGGGAAATGTTTAAAGTTTAGCATTTTTTAATTTTCTGATTTTTAATTAATATGAAGGTTGATGCTAAAATTAGATAATATTAAAATTTATCATATTTTATTATAAAATTGTAAAATTTTTAGAATGTTTTTTGTAGTTTTTTTTATAATTAGGTTAAAGTTAGAGAATAGTATTATTAATAAAAAAAATATATATATTTTAGTTTTAAAAAGAAATTCTAATTTTTAGTATTATTCATAAATGTTCACGCAACTCTTCCTGATGATCACTTGTACCAACCTAATACCGAAAGCAAGTTGAAGATTCAAGCCTAGAAGTCGACAACAACTTGAAGTTTTCTTGATACGAACTGTTGTCAACGAAGTCTTTAAATGTGATACACCGAGGAGCAGGTGTTTTGGACAGTTTGCAAAGGGGTCAAGCCTTGCTTCTCTGCTATTTCTAGGGTGGACTCCTCTTTACGTTTGGCATCCAAACTGGAGAAGTCTCTGGGAACAGCAAGTAGAAAAGAAAACTAAAGTTAGTTTGAAGATGAAAGACTTTGAAGAACTCTTGAAACAACACTCCTTAGTTGGAAAACTTGCAGAAACTCGATATTTCCTCGCTGGCTTTTGGCTTCAAAATTTTTGACAAAAAGTGAGAAATTCAGCTTACCCTCTCCAGAAGATTGGTATTGTTTACCACTTCTATATCGGAAAACTAGATGATGACAAATCAGCACGTGTTACAAAATGATTGAAATGATAACAACAAGTCACGTGAAGTTTTTAAAGTCCTTATACTTTCGGATAAAGATATAGATTTAATAGGGAAAAGTCAAGCAAAGTGTTTTGAGATATACAACGTGTCCCTTGTATATAATTTTTAGCCTCTAGC